CATTGTCCAGGCCGCCTACTGATAAACAGTACAGATCATAGCATAATAGGACAATGTCTGTCTACATGTAATCTATCATACCCGATTTCAGCTTTGTTGTCCTAGCTTTTACCCTGGGAATTGATTCATCTCCCTTAAGTGACATGCAGCCCAAATCAGAGTAATTTCATATGTCTCCTGTAAGCACATCAAAATTTACTCAAGCAGTTTTAAGTTGTATTCAATCCCAGCCACTCTTCTGCTCTTTTATTCACTAAGTACAGGTATGGCTGGAAGTAACACTTTTGCAAGAAACTCCATTATGCCATCACTGGATTTAAGGTACTCACTGTGCCCACTCTTGGTATCTGTCACATATACAGGGCATGCAACTGGGATACAGAAAAGACTAAGCAAAGATTTGAATGTTAAATTTCAATATGCTCAGTGACTGCCATAGCTTCTGGGTTATTATACCAGGTTTCAGTTGGCCAATACATAACTATTTTTATATGTCAGAATAGCTTCAGCAGGGGAACTGGTCACCGAATTACAATGATGGTTAGTGCCCTATGAATCATTTCACAACTACAAATGAGAAACACACAGGGGGTCTTGATTTTTTAGATGTACAGTGGAAATGTTCAAAATCTCAAATTTTCCTCTCAGCTCCATTTGCTCATCCACGGAGGAAGACAGCGAGCCAGTTCACAAAATGTACTTTCAGCCTAGCAGTACTGAATAGCCCCTATGGGAAATCTAATCTGTTATTTGTGAAGACAAGAGGCTATTCTATCTAGTGAGACCACGAATGTTGAGTCTTCCCTAAGTTACCAAATGCTATTCAGCCTTTATCTGAAATGCTCCTGTTTCTTCCATTCTGGTTATCTCCTCAGCAAACATAATGGAGAATTGTTCTGAATTATGTGTCAGATTTCAGTGTGGGAAAAGGACTTGAATGATGTCAACAAGACCAGAAAATTCTGAGGGAAGACAGGCAGGTAAAGGCACAAGAATTACCACAACCCAGAGAGGTGGTTCTGAATGCTGGTTTTAAGCCAGTATATAACTTTAAAACAATTTTTTTGTGATACATACACTGATAAATTAAATTTAGCTTTAGAAATTTACTGTTGGCCTCAGTCATCATCCAGGCAAGGTAAATTTTTAGATTCATAACAAGCCTGAAATACATTTACAAGATCAAATCACATAAAATTTCTTCAAATTTAAAAGCAATTTTTGTGGTTCTCCGGGTAAAGGACAGCCAGAACTAAAGAAATGTCTTGATTTCTACTGTCTCATGCTGTTAAAATACAAGATCAAATATTATCAAGAAAGATGAAAAGGTGGAAGTTTTACAGTTCTAAAGAACTGAATGCTTAAACGTAACTTCCAGTGAGAAATGACTGGGAAAAAACTTAGTGCACCTAATTAGGCCCTAATGACCAAATTCTTAGGCGGAAGGATTTGGTGATGAACCGCATGAAAAAGACACTCTGCTAACTCTTTTTCTGAACTGCCACCCACTGAATTTCACCTGCACAAGGACATCCTATACATATTGCTTCTTGAAAGGGCAACCTGAGCTGTGTTGAAACAACTTAGCAGGAGTCAGGAGTGATTTCTGCCATTAGCAAGATAGGTAGGCTCCTGCTTAGCAGCTTGCAGCTTTACAAAGACAGCTCCCAAGCCCACAAATTACAAGTTAACACTAAAATGTAAATCTAGATGCATTTTTTGGTATAATTTTCCTGAAAAAATCTTATGTTATGTGCTGTTAAATGTTGTAAATGATATACTACATAAATTAGTTGAAACACCTCATGTCAAGTCCTTTCTACAGTTTATGGTTTGATAGGCAAGCAGAAAAGACAGCCTTTTTTATTTCTGTACTATGTGAAAATAGAAAGACCAGACATGCTGAAAAATCAGCTCAAAAGCAGTTTTAGAAAATCAATCAGAACAGGACAAGACATGAGTAACAATGATGATAATAATTAGAACCAAGACATGTATGGCCAATATTGTATTTCCTCAACCAGGAACTGCATCATACCACACCCCATGAAAAGAAGTGGCTGGTGCAAATATTTTGCTTTGTTTCAGTAACATAATCTCCATCACCTTTTTTTGTCTGTGTCTTTCCTCTTTCTTACTCTCCTAAAAGATTTTTAATGAAAATGGAATCTCTCAACAAACCGCTACAAAGACAGTCTTTCAGCTCTTTCAGTATTCCACTCTCATGACAAAGCAGAAACAATTCCTTTATTCTTTCCCACATCTGACTACAAGACCCCAAGAGAATGAAGGGGACTTGCATACTGCCTTTTCAGCTCTCTTCCCCTGCAGCCACTCTTCTCCCTCCAGCTGGCCAGCACCAGGGCCCCTGCAATGCTCTCCCATTTAATTCCTACCCTCAATGGGGCTGCACAGACATGACTAATTGCAATTTACAAAACACTTCTACTCTGCCCAGGCACCAGGCTCCAGCTTGCTCTACATCCAGTGTGTCAGCCCTGCAGAGACAAAAATATCAGACATTTCCTTTGCAGCTCATGGCAGGGCACAAAGAGCAGATCTATCAAAGCTGATACACGGTGTTTTTTGAGAGCAGAATGGAGCAAAAGATTATGAAATCACCTGTAATAATTCTTCTCTTTCTGGTCTGAATTCCTAAGATGTGTTTTCCTCTCTTCCTAATGCAATTGTCCTCCCTGTAATGGCTCAGCACTTAATGTCACTATCTTTTGAAACAGGTCAGGCTAATGGCAAGCTTGCTTTGGGCATATTGATTCAAGCTCATTAATATGCACACTCTCTCTCCATTCGTTTCTCTATTTACTTTGAAGTCGCCTCTCTGGAACCTGCAATGCTTTTCTGTGTTAAGACTCTTGGCTGGCATTTCTCAGCTTGCTGCGTCTGGTTTTTATCTAGGATAGAAATGGGACTGAATGCTGCAAAAGTTAGTCAATGGCACCTCGGGTGACATTTGGTGCCCAGCTGAATGAATTTCTTGGCCTCCTCACCCTCACCACTAAGAGGTATTCTTTCTACTTGCTCTCAAGTTGGCTGTTTACATTGCACATTTTAGGGCAAGTAACATCTCCACATTTGTCAAGCATCTGCCCCAGGGGAGTGCAGCCCCTTATTGTGCTCCTAGAAAGAAAAACACCGCCAGACTCTTTCTAAATGTTTCTTCCACCTGAAAGAGCTATTTCCAGCATGGGGGGAGAAATCAGCTTTGACTCAGATATCAGATTCTCAGTGTGATAAGGGAAAGTGATTCAGCTGTCTTCTTTTATTTTTTGCTTTATGATTCAGGAGCAGCCCATTGTTCAGATGACAAGTCAGTCATAACTGGGAACTTCTGTGAGGGGGAGGAGTACAAGCATTTATATAATATTCAGAGGCCACTTTATATTAATATCTCTACCCAAACAGGCCAGTACCAACATTTTCCACTGCAACAGGCCCATGTCATCTGAGGTTATTTTGGGCTGAAATATTTGGGCATACCCCTTTCCTCAAAATACTTACAGGGACAGCCAGTTAGGTAGATTCTCCTGAGACTGCATGGCAAGGTGGGTCAGTTTCCTACTAAGTCCCTGTGTACATGTTGAAAGTAAATGTGGAAATACGCACTCAGCTTTCATGATTCCTCCATACAAACAACAGTGTCTTTTCCACAGACATCCATTAGAAAAACAAGGAACACACAGAGAATTGTATGAGAGGAGCTGGCCATGATCAAGACACAGAGCCTGTCTAACTAAGGACTGAACACAGTTTGATTAAATTTAGTGGCTTCTTCTGGAAGGACCAAGAAGATTCAAATCAAACAGGATTCAAATCAAACAAAGGGGTACAAACACCTTTTTTAGCAGATAGGACTGCAAGCCTCTTCTAAGACTGTGCACCAAAACTTCTGCAGTTTAATTGAACCTAATTTGACTCCATATCCAACAATTCTTTCCAGGCCTTTAAATCCCCACTGTACTTGTATAGAAGAGCAGCAGTATGCTGCAAGATTTTAAAGTAACCAATTCCCCTGCTCGATCTCACAGAATTTTTCAGAAGATAAAATGTTTAAATGTGGAGCATTATAAATGAGGAGTTTTTAAATCCAATATCATTTTTTAAATCATTTGCCACATACATTTTAACAGGAACCACCAAAGGAAATATACAGTAAGTCAAAACAACTGAACAAAGCAAGTGGTAAAGACCAGTGGTCACTAATCCATGTCACCATGCAAAGAGTTACATCCCAGTTACTGGAATATGGCAATAGAGCAGGGCTGACAGGTGCTCAGGGGCAGAGAGTCATCACAGCTTGACAGGGTTCCTCTCACAAAGGTCATGAAGGCTCCAGTCTCAGCAGCACCTAACAGCTTTAACACACAGACAGCTCACACTGTCTGCTGGCCTGTGGCTCACTTGGCAAGAGAGAATCCATCTCCCAGCTGCTGGCTGAGGCACTTGGTCTTGATCTAGATCTACTGCTGCACAGCCTTAGCTCAGTAACTACATATTCTCCAAGGGGAGCAGCAGGCAAGGATGCAATGTCATCTTAAAATCCATCACACACTGGAATACAATTAAGAGCTGCAAAACTGAACAGTGAGTACAGAAATATCAGTGCCAAGAGCCAAAGTGGCCACCTGTGGAGGAGCTAACAGTCTAGAAATCAGAGCGCACATCAAAATGTTTTGTGTTTTGGGTTTTTTCCAAGTTTACCTTTCTTACTCATTTCCAGCACCTTAAAGCAGAAAAAATTCATCTCAGCTAGTCCTGAAAATTGATGATTATGGAAAATAAAAATTGAAACGGATTACTTAGTGTGATCAGCTTTGGTCTTCTTAAAAACAGTGGAAAAACAACTAAAGCTCTGTGGTTGTCAAACCACAGTTATCTGGAACCTGAAAATGTAGTCAGCTCTAATATGACAATGCAGATCAGTTCATCAGATAAAAAGGAGGAGAGATGAGAGACCATGGCACAAAAAGATTTTGACTCACAGTGGCTAATTTCTGAACATCTTCATCAGATGCTCCCAGTGAAGCAAGTCCTATCTCTTGTGAAAACTGTGCAAATTTGGGATCAGCAAGTAGAGGCACATGTCCCAAGAGTTCATGGCATGTATCCCTAAGGGAATGGAAATGAAAAGAGAGTCATTACAGAAATTAATACCATAATAATTCCATAACTAATTTAACATAAGGCATTTTACAGGGGTCTGACTCCTACCTTACAATGAAACATGGTTTTTACAGTGTAGTTCTTCCCTGTGTATACAGTTTCTATGTGTAGGTAGAAACACACACATTTGCTTCTGTTAAATAGATTATACATCATTTAACCCCAGCTGTTCCATGATTTGCTCATCATTTCCAGATTGAGTGGAAGAGCCTGATCACTACAATCTTTCAGACTTGGTGACATGAAGACTGAACTGCCCCCAGGAAAGCCAGCTGTCCCACAAGTACAGTTTTCAGCTTTTCTGTCTACATTAATCAAAATCCAACACATTCCCTCTTCCTCTTGTCCATTCCTCTTTCTGTAATTGGGTAGTGCTCCACATCAAACATTTTGCCACTTGTCCCCAGAAATATGGGGCAGTATTTACAGAGGGTTCTGTGTACCTAATTTCCCACTTAGTCATGAAATCCTACTGCAATTACTGGGTACTTTTGTTATGCAGTCTACTTTTCAGCAAGCAGATTTCAGAAAAAGCAGAGAATCCAAGTCATTTCAAAAAGAACAGCTGTTCACATCTGTAAGTGCATTGTTAGTCATGACAAAGTGCAGACATAAGTGTACAAAAAACTGCTAACGGAAGTGCACATGCATCATCTACAAAAGCTTTCAAACAATTTTGAAAGTTTTGCTGCATTTGTTCACAGGAAATAATGGACTTGGTAGTAAAGTTCACTTTAAAAATCCAATCTGACATTTCCTTTGCTTTTGTCTCTTTCAAGACATACCTCTGGTTTTTGTTTTGTTTTTTTTATCCTAAGCTGTAAACAAATGCTTTAAAGGCAGGGAGAAAACATCAAGTTTTCTGCCTTCTACCCAAAATCATCCAATTTGTCTTTTATAAACTATTTTTGTTTGAAAAGTCACAGAATATGACATTTCAGATAAATCATGAACAGAAAAACAACCCTCTGTATAATTTAAAGTCTTCTTACTCAGTATCGTCACCAAGAAGTCTCAACCAATAATAGTAGTAAATAGAAGTTGGTGGTTTGCATCACTTGACTGGATAATCATCAAAACTAATTAATTAATTCTTTAATTAATTCCATTCCAATCACAACATTTTTTTCTGTATTCTCCTACAAGATTTAGGTCACTAACAATGCAAAGGACAGCTGGGAAATGTAGTTAGCAGTCTGACAGACACACCACTTCACAGCACCAAGCAATTCACTGGAGGAACCTGATTTCTCCTACCATCAACTTCCAACATAAAAACGGGTCACAAAGCCCATTCTGTGGAAGCCCAGCACACCAATTCTTACTTCCACCAAGCAGGCTGACACTAATTGCTGAGCATCTGAGCTACACTCCACCAGTTCAGCTATACTTAGCTTTGTATCAGTAGTTCAAGCAGAAGCAAACAATGAAGCTGGCTCCAAGTTCCTGGCTCCAGGTAAGCACACTCATCTGCAGGCAGGTTTCTACAGCAGCACCACTACTAGTGACACCAGAGCTAGTGCCTGCCTCTCTATTTTCCTGTGCTGAAGCCACAAGCCCCAGAAAGAAATAAGCAAAGATGACTTATTCCCAGTTCTGCACTGGGACACATGCCCTTTGTTATGTCCACTCTTGCAGACAAAATGAGAACAGACAAAGCCTAATCCCATTAACTTGTCTCTCTTGGCAAGGGGAAAAGAATGAGGAGGCAGAAGATATTTCTCTCATGCCTTTAGTTTGTAGATTCTTCCATTAAAGCAATGCAAAGTAGTATTTTGAATGTGTAGTTACAAAGAGGGGAGCTTAAAGCAAAAAGAATATGAACAAAAAAAACCCAAAACCACACAAAATCTCTCAGGCAGAAACATGAACCAGTACTTGGGATTGTCATTGGAGTCTTTTAGACTTCCCTGCCAGTCTGGTCCTTTATAGATAGTCTAAACAATATAATTCTTTGCTTAACTACCAAAGCTGATTCTTTTATTTTGTCTTATTCTGAAAATAATTAAGTTCCTTTAATTTATTCACACACATTGCTCAGAGAAAATAAGATATTTGCAATGCACTTTTCAGAGCAAAAGATTTTTCTTGAAGTAAATTACTTAGTAAAGCAGAAGAAATCTACATAGCTCTGTGAATGTAGTAGAAACATAATTAAAATCAGGAAGAAATATGTTTTAAAATGCACATGGTAGTGATATAGATCAAACCAAATGAACTCTCTAATTTGTATCTAGCTCTGTAGCCCGGGTGTTAAATCTGACGGAAAGCCCACTGAAGTCAAAGGGAGCCTTTTTACCTGGTTTATATCATTGAAATGCAACATTCACCAGCCAGGACCGGCAGCAAAGCTCATTATGGCCCCATATATCAACCAGAAGATCTCAGGGCATTGCAGCTACTGCAGAAGATGAAGAGCTGTCCCCACTCAAGTCAATTTAATTTTGACATTGATTTTAAAAAGCATTACGCTTTCACTCGACACTTCTGGTAACACTGTGTGTTCTATGTTATGCTAAGAAACCTAAACACATTTTAAAAGGGATTGTCAAAATTTTCCTATGGAGTTCCTGGTAGTCAGTACACATTACTCAACTAATGTGAACCAGTAGGTTGAGACTATAACCTGTATTTTTAAGTTCAGCCCAAATAAGGAATAAAAATCTTCATTCTAATTCAACTGTTATTATTACTCAGTGACTTCCCAGACGGTATGACCAGAAAGGCTACCCAAGAAGCAGCTGCCATTACTACTAAGGATCAGCTATGATCTACTGCATAATTCTGAGCGTAAGCAGCATCCTGAAAATTGCAGGGCTCTCAAATACACAAATCAATGAACCAGAGAACATCACAAAAAGCACAGACACAAGTAATTGCTTCCTGGAAGATGTTATTGCCTTTATCCTGTTGGAGTTTTGTACCTAAATCTCTTATCAGTAGATGAAAATGTTCTTCTAGTTTGTACTAAGTTAATAAACATCATCATTCTTTTGCTGAACACTGGTACATGCTGCAGCCTGAAACACTGGCTTCCCACAGAAAGGAAATCATCAATGCAAAGCCTGGTACTTTCCTTGCATCATTTATTTTTTTAAATATCTACAGATATTTTTAAATAGACCCGAAGAAGTTCAGCCCTTCCTTCCATCCAAGCCCTCCTTTCAAACTTTTCAATTCTATCAATTTTCCTACAAATTTAAGAGATTTAAGTTCTAATTACAGAGGTTATAGAAGTGACTGAATTCCTTCAGGGATCACCAGCTCCTTTCCAAAAGAAACACGCACACAAAGCTAGCCTCAGAGCATTTCTGCAAGGCAAGTACTTCGCCACATTCAGATGCTGAGAAGAAAGGTAGAGAAGTGTCTAACAGCACCATCTGGTGACTCCTGCCAGAATAAAGCTACCACATTTTTAGATACAGCTTAGTATGCGGCACCATTAAACTTTTTATGTCCAAAAATATAACTCTATGGTTTTGGCAGTCAATTCATGAAATCAAACTTAGGCACGAGTCCAAATGTTTACAGTACTGGAGCTGAATATATATGTGTTAATCCTTTGTGTAAATTTGGAAAAAATCAAAAAAGTAGTCCAAGCGGAATAAACCACAGCTACAATCTCAAGCAAACTGTCTGATGAATGATTCACTGCAAAAAATGTCACTCCTGTGGTTACAGGATCAGAAGATACCTTTGGTAAAAATACCTCCACATTATCTAAATGACAGGCACTGTTCTGCTATTACTGCACAGAACAACATATATAACACAAGACAAGAGATACAATCTCTTTGATCTTCTTTTTCCCCACTTTTAATCAAAAGACCATATACCAAAATATTTCATACTAACTTGCAATGTTGTGTTTTGGAAAAGTTGCAATGCTGTTCCATAAAAGTCATAATTAAAGTGTTTCTTATTTCTGTCATAATTTCCCTGTAACATATCTAATATTCTCTCTTGGTAAGAAAATAGTGCTCCATGTCTTGCTTGTGTTGTGTTATAGGAGAGAAATTAAGTTCAGCTGTGCAACCTGCTCCAATGAAATAAAAATGGGAAGACAGAAGATCAAATTAAAATTCTGAAAGCAGATTTTTTTCAAAATATTCAGGGTTTTAGGTTTTTTCACTACTTCTTTCTAGCTGTCCCAGCAGAAAATAAAATTGTAGACACTTTTTAAAAAATTTTAGGTGAAAACTCCATTTTCCACTGAAATTTAATTGAAATAGTATTTCTGACCCACTGTATAAATAACCCAGTTATTTAAGACCCTTGTAAAAAGTCAACCAAAAATCTTTGAATTAAATTCTGGCTCGCCAATGTGCAGGATTTTGTCATCAACAGTGTAAGAAGAATTTCACATTTTGTAAAAAGGTTCCTCTTTTCAATCTTGCCAGATTGAGTTGGTTCCTTTAAGAAAGTGGTGGGTATATTTTTTAAGTGCTAGAGCAAAGGCAGCACTTACGGTTCCGGTGTGTAGAGGGGATCGGAGCCGTGCCGGATGTACTGCGTGCAGTGAAACACTCGGTAGGCTAAGCCAGCTAAAAAGTCACGGGGAGACAGGTATCCAGCAACTGGTCTCACTGTGAAGCCAGACCTCTCTGAAGGGAGAGAGATTATAAAAGGCCACATTACATTGATCTTTGTATCCCTTTCTGGTGACAGATCTGTTGCTAATTATTCTACCAGAAGCGTGACACTAAGAATCTTGATGATCACCAGACATAATTTTCAATTATTACATGCAAGAAGTATTTTGCCTTGCTAGCATATGTATAATGAAAACAGCTTGAGGTATTTCAAAGTTGGTCTGAATATCTTTGTCTAGAAAAAAATGCTAAGGTACCATAAGTGATGTCCTTAAAATTTTAAAAACAAAAATTTTTGTCCGGTACCAAATGGGAGAGAAGTTTCCATATTGGAAAATATGCAAAATATGTCTAAAAACTAACAGAACAGAATAGGATTAGAACAAATATGTTTGAGTCAATAAAATACTGATTTTAATATTTAAGTCCCTCATTGAAATATTTAACAGTGTTCTTTTTTCAGATTAGTCCCAGAGTGAAACAGTTTCCGATTCAGTGACTTCAAAAAGTATGTTTCTCTCAAAAATTAATTCTTTATTCTTTCAAAGTTTTTACAGGACAATGTTTCAAATTTTTCTGCAACAGGTACTATTACCTGCTTTATGTAGTCTGAAAACATATTTCTGAAACAAGTGTGAGATTTTGAATTTCTAGCTAGGGAGAAAAAATCTGTACAATTTGGTATCATTCCTTAGCGACTGTAACTCAATACATGAGAGACCCAGAAGGACACAATCAAATTCAAAGAATAATGAGTCAGCTATTAGCAAATGCAGGTTTTCACAGACAAGAATTATGGACAAAGTGCAGGCTGAGGAAAGTAAGCTTGTCATTATAAATTCTTTATTTCCTTTAGCTTGTCCATATATATATATATTTGGACAAAATGCTTGGCTAATTATTCTCTAACCAGCACATAAGTTGTTTATTTTTTTTTTCAAACACCTGCCTTTATAATATTTTAGTTCCTGAGTAAAAAGTTTAAGAAACAAAAATATCTAGCTGAAGGGACCTTTGAGGAGAAATTAAACTCTTAAATTAACTCTTTGGTGGCTTTTCCTCCAGAGCTAAAAACATCTCCATGTCTACCACATTGTCCATATGGGCTGCATTTCCACTACAAATTTACATTTACATTCCAATTTACAAATTAAAAATAAGAATTTATTTTTGAACTTAAACATATAATACACTGATCCTTAAAAAATGAAAGAGAAGCACCACATCAACTACTGTGTCCAACACATCTTTTTCACATACAAATAAAAGGATTAGCTTCATGAGGTCTCGAGCACTCAGGAAAGCCTCATATTCATCAGGCTACACAACAGTGTGTCAAACCTGCCCTCCTCTTTAAATTCAGTTTTCTTGGCATTTGGCTCCCCCTTTTTCCTGCCTGGATATTTGGGGGATGCCCAGTGCAGTTATCAGAAGCCCCCATCTGTCACTAACTCAGGTTTTCTTTCCACCAAACCGAAGGGGTTTGCCCTGTACAAGATAACATCATGCTTTCACATGTGCAGCTGATTAATTTCTCTCCGTTTCATACTTGCAAATATCTACATAAAACTGTCTTGATGCCAAAAAAACTGCCACAGAGAACACCAAAACCAGAATGATACTTCAGTCTAAACTGAAGGCCACTGACAGTGCTCTGAGTCTTTTCGCTCAATATGCTTTGTACTCCATAATAACAAAAAAGTGTTTTCATGAAACCATATCTATTGATACATCAAATATGAATCTTACCTTTAAGAAAAACAGAAACATCTTCCAGCTGAGGCACATTATCTTCTCTGTATCCACAGTACTTGCTCAGCAGAGGAAAGTTTTTTAAATATTCACGACAAGCATGGGTGGGATAGAGTTTACTGAGTTCCCTAAATACCACTCCCCAAGTTTTAACTTCTTCAGCTGTGTACTCCACTCTTGGAATGGGTTGACCACTATTGGAAAAAGAAGCACAAAATACATCCGAATACAAGCAGACTGTAGGTAGATTGTAAATAGCAATATTTCCACAAAAAGTATTATTTAAATAAAGGCAAATGACACTATTAAAACTATTTGAACTATTTTTAATTGACATCTTGGCGCTTCTTCCTTAGAATTATTTCTTCATGTTACAGTGTACGTATTCTATAATTTCCTTAAGAATTGTTTCTCTCTAAGCAATCTCATTGCTTCTTAATCTTTTTACGTGTCATAGTAGAAAGATGGATTTCTTATATACCATATAAGAATACCATACTCCTATACCAGACTAATATTTCTCCACTTACTGCCACTGGTACCTTTGCAAGTGGATGGCTGTAGATCCTGATTCAGTCTAACATGTAGATTGAGTAAGACCTTTAACAGACTGCATTTTCTATCCACTCTTTAAAATACATAATATTCACACGGCATCAAATGCTGGGTCAAGATTAGGCAATTACATAGATGCTTAGAAATGTACGGATCCAATTTCAAAAACGTGTATTTATTGCTTAGACAGTTGCTTACATATCCAGATATGTTTAGAACCCTGAATTCATGCAGGATTATATTAGGAGAAAGCTCATCTCAGAGCCAGCAGCTGAGCCTAGAGGAAAACTTTAAATACATTTCTCATTTTGTTTTGATTTTGCCTTGTTCTTTTGCCTCCTCTTGCTTGCACAGATGTACAGACATTGGAAAGCAGGAGCCTTCCAGGATACCTGCAAATCTGACAGCCAAGATTTGCCTTGAGTAGCTACAGTTAATTCAAAACTGACTGATAGTGTGAACATTGCTAAGAGATCCTTCCAACTTTCACTGCCTTGTATTTAGCTGTAAGGAATTTCCCATGACATGCCATGGGCCATCACCTCATGTCATTAATTGCCCCTTGAAATGTTTTAGTGCTCCTCTGGAATTAATATTCACAATCTAGAACGTGTAATCTCCGCAGTCTGCCTTCTCCTCAGGCATCTTCTCTGGCACTGTAACAACATACAGATTGGCAGAGGGATTCACAGCATCTGCCTCCGCTCCATCAGTCCTTATCTCTCACTCTCCTGCCACAGGCCTGGCAATGTGGGCACTCCCTGCCCAGTGCTGCAGCTCCCCTAGTACCACAGACAGCTCCCCCAGTACCAGAGACAGCTCTTCCAGTACCACAGACAGCTCTTCCAGTACCACAGACAGCTCCCCCAGTTCCACAGACAGCTCCCCCAGCACCAGAGACAGCTCCCCCAGCACCAGAGACAGCTCTTCCAATGCCACAGACAGTTCCCCCAGTACCACAGACAGCTCCCCCAGTTCCACAGACAGCTGCCCCAGTACCACAGACAGCCGCTGAACAGGCACATCAGGCACGGGCAGCTCCATTGCAGCAGGAGAACCGCAGTGCTGGCCTCTTGCTGGCAGCTGCTGCGCAATTCATAATCCTGTCTCCACTGTACGAGGTAACAAGGAATAAGCCCTCATGTCACATTTGATTGCTGCTATGCAGTCCCTACATGCACAAGAGAGGATCATCTGCCCTACATTCATTGTGGTTGTCCCCTCATCTTTATTGAAAACTTACCATTTAATCCCCTTGCCTTTCATGATATCAAAGGATTTTGATCCATGGCAGTTATCTGTCAGTCAAAGGCAACTTTGTATGAGGTGCTCGTACTTGGTAGGGACTGCTGAATATCCAATACATGCACTAGTTCCCTGTCAGCCACTTTTGCAGACATGACAAGAATTGCAACACTTTTAGTGAAGTATTTCTCATCCACAGGAGCTGCACTGGGTCTGTGCCCATCCTGCAGTGGGAGAGAGTCCTTCAGGTCTAGTATCTGTCTCCCCCCTTAACAGTTCATCAGCCTTAAGCTGCCTGCCAGCTCGTGGAAAACATAGCATAGCTACTCTGAATTGTACTGTACACAACAGATACAAGCAGGTTGCTACTCCATGCATTTGCTTCTGCCAGAATACCCAGCCTCATCCCTTCTCCTTAGGCCTGACCTCTACTGTGGATACTACCAGTATGGGTCAGCACTGGCACATCAAGCAGGAAGATATGTTTTACCAGTTGAAAAGCTCATGTTTCTATCTATCTAGAAAGGCATAAACACGATCAAGAATCTGAAGCTTACTCACTGCTCACTAAAAGGTTTATAACTTAGTTATTGTTCCAATTAATTCATTAGTACTGAAGTAAGGTTCACTGAACATTAATTCCTTAATAGGTTTCATGGCTAGGAGAGCTGATCTTATTTCCAGCTGATCATGATATTGTTTTCTTTATAGAGAGAATCAAGACAGCCAGACTTGTGGGAGGATCTATGCATTTTTCCCTCACCTCTGCAAACTTGATGTTTCTTAACCTCTTATTTCAACATGCAAGACCCACCTCGCACTCATACATTTCAATAAATCATGGAAATGGCCAATCTGCATAGCCAGTTTCCTTGTGGTTAAAATGACTCTACAAGCTAACCTAATCTGAATTTTTATTTCTTCTTATTAAAATAGGGTCTTTCCATTTTGCCATGGTCATGAGCTATCAACTCATATTATTAATTCCCTCTTAAACATCGTATGTTTCCTACAGATTTAATTTTCACAACACTTTTTCAAACCCTAATCAGTCTCAAAGGACTAATTAGCAAGATTAATGCATTTTCACTCTCTTTAGGATAGAAGCTAAGTGAAGGAGGGAGGAATATGTTTTTTTATGGCTTTTTTGGTCCATTTATTTCACACAGCTGATCTTCACTGCTGTGCTCTATTAACATGTCTTTTCCCTTAACAGCCAGCTCCAGCAAACACCTGCTCCTTCAAGTTCACTTGGTAATGCTTTTCTCTCTCTCTCTTCATTACGGACACCCCTTCATGTTCAAGCAAAGCAAAATATCTACCACTATAGAACGGTAGAAATTCATAAAGGAAATGCTGATCTGGGATTTTCAACTCAACTTTTTATGGAGCCAATTCCTTGCAGCCAGATCTCTGGGGTTTTTTAAGGAAACAAAAGTGGGTTGTTGGTTTTTTTACAATGGAAAATGAAAAGCAGAAACATATCAAGCCTCAGTAAGTGATTAGGAAAGTCACTTGCCTGGAAGACACTGAGAAATGTTTATCCAAAAGGAGGACAGCCCTTATAAAAGAGCTGTTCTTTTTGTGGAAATAAGTAAATAGTCATTAGACACCAGAAGAGAGTGTCACAAGACTTTGATGTAGTGTCAAGACACCTATAGCAACTCTCAGCTCCCCAGTGTGGGTAGCAGAAACAGCCCAGCTGTAGCAGCACAGCTTTCCCTGAGCTGATTTGCCTTTCCTCAGCATGGTTTGGGCTGTGCTGCAACAGGATACTGAGGCTGTGTCCCTGGGCTGTCTCTCCATGGATACCCAGAGACAGACCAACTGTACAGACCAGTAGACACAGCACATCCCTGGGGGTGAGGGTAACCAGTGCAGGAGACTTGAAGTATGAATGAGATTTTGACACATGTTAGATAACTGCCCTAAGCACTGGTCTCCCAGTTTTTCTGGTGCCTGTCTAAGAGTATTTGAAGCCTCTTCTTCTCTTTCTTCTTATAATAATAGGACAAGTTTGCAATCTTTTAAAGGTTTGAAAAGATGAGTGGAATGAAGGAGTATATTTGACAAGTTTTGCTGAAGTACAAGATCTGATCCTTAAATAACCTCTGTTTTGAATTGTGTCATTTTTGTAACGTGCCTGCAAAAATTTTTTAAGCCTTCAAAATCTAAAGAAGGAAAAGGTTTTCCTTTCCTTGATTTGTTTTATTTTCTGGAAATATGCAGGATTACTTTCTGTTATTTTGCAAAAAGGTGTTTCTCTTCTGGTTTCAGGGTGGAAAAAAAGGCCACACTTTGAAGCAAAAGACCAACTACTGCTTAGTAAGCCAGCTGCATCACCTTTCCAGCACTTAGGCAGCTGAGAGGGAGAAGGAAGGAAGATCTTACCAGCAAGTTAGCAGCTGTGAAATGCACAGCAGTACTGCCACCATCATGGATAAATGGAGAGCTATCCCACTTACTGAAAGAGCCTAAGAGCACACACAGCCTGCCCTCACCCACAGGGATCCACTTGACATTTCACACTGCAGTAAATGACAAGAAGCACTGACTTCACTGCAAGCATTAGACTAAAAGAAAGATAATAAATCAATCAGCTTTAAACAAACATTCTAAGAAAAAAGCTATCTCAATTTACATTTGAAAGCTGGCTAGACTCAGGTCTTACCTGGGCAGCCTAGAGAGCTTCTCTAATAAACACCTGCCCGAGCAGGCAGCAGCTCAGTGTGCTGGATGGATGCTGTTAGCACCCAGCTAAACAAATACCACTGTGGGCAGAAAGAAAGGGGAAAGAACACTGGCACCTACACGTGTGTAAGACTGGTCATAGCTTAATTACTGCCTCGGGACAACAGTAGAGGAAAAATATAATCAGAATTATATGGTCAAAAGCAGACTAAACCCTTCTGTCCTCCCAGCCTCCTGCAGGCTCTGTAATAGCCCTATACTGAAAAACCTTCAGAAATTCAGTTTTGACTTGATTCCTGACAGGATGTGCCTCCTCTAAGTGTGGAAAAAAATGCACGTTTCATATTCTTAAACCACGTAGGTAGAAATCTCAAAGGAGAAAAAATGAAAAACCTAAAGAAGTGTAGAAAAGAAAATGGAAAAGAGCATGAAATTAATATGTTCTTTCCCTTGAGAATGAGGGTTTAAACCTGTTGCAAATAAAATCTAAAGTAGGATTAGAACTAGTTGAGTGCTTCTGTGACAAGAAAATTGCAACACAGTAGGTGTTTGTAGGTAGAACAGCAAGTTTCCTAACTTCCAGAGACTGTAGCAAATTGAAAATACTGACTTGAAATGGGGGAAAAAAAACAGAATGAGAAAACACTTGCAGTGTACTTGTGCAGACAAGCCACCAGCTTCTCTAACTACACAGAAATGCACTGACTAAATTCAAATAAATTTAGAGTTATATTGGCAAAACCAATAAATGGCATTTTGCAGCATCCAGTAGAATCATAGAATGACAAAATTCTAAGGTTGGAAAAGACCTCTAAGATTGCCAAGTCTAACTGTTACCCAATGCTATTATGTTCACCACTAAACCTTGTCCCAAAATGCCACATCCAAACATCTTTTGAACACTTCCAGGGGTGGTAATCCCACCACTTCCCTGGGCAGCCTACTCCAATGCCCAACCACCCTTTCAATAAAAAAGTTTTGTAATAACCAGTCTAAACCCCTGTGCAGCTTGATGCCATTTCTTCTCATCCTGTCACTTGTTATCTGAGAGAAGAGGCCAGCCCCCACCTTACACAATCTTCTTACAGGCACTTGTAGAGTAATAAGGTCTTCCTTGAGCCTCCTTTTCTCCAGGCAAAACAACCACAGCTCCCTCAGCCACTCCTCATCAGACCTGAGTTCCAGCCCCTTCTCTATTGGCATCTCTGCCATATCCAGAGAATGGCATCTCTATTGCCATTCTCTGGATACACTCCAGCACCTCAGTGTCCTTTTTACCTTGAGGGGCCAAAAACTGGACACAGGATTGAAGGTGTGGCTGCACCAGTGCTGAGTACATGGGGAGAATTCCTGCCCTAGTCCTGCTGAACACACCATTTCTGATAAAGGCCAGGATGCCATTGGCCTTCTTGGCCCCCTGGATACACTGCTGGCTCATGGTCAAATGCTGCTGACCAGCACCTCCAGATCCTTTTCCACTGAGCAGCTTTCAGCCAATTTTCTCCCAGCCTGCAGCACTGCAGGTTGTTGAGACCAAAGTGCAGGACCTGGCACCTGGTCTGTTGAACCTCATGGAATTGGCCTCAGCCCAATATAGTACATGCATCAAAAGAAAATAATGATTTTGGGGTTTAGTGAGCTCTTCCAACTATGTAGGGATGCTAGATATGTGGGATTTAGCAGTGCATCAGCTTGTCAGTGAGGCATGAAAATATCCGTACAATATTTTCCAAAGTTTAAGCTGCTGGGAATAAAATGCTAAAAGAGAGAGTGCTTGCTTTTCAAATGCTTCATTTGCCTGTAGCTGTATCAAAAATAAAAGGGGATTCCAAGTATCAGGTTCATAATTTATAGCCTACACTAAACTAGTCAAAGTTTAAGGGATGACTTTGTCTACTGTTAAACATCATCCTACAGAATTAAGTAGAGCATGAACTCTAACTAGTCAGCAGCATAGGGAAGAATTATGCCAGTACTTACTATTTATAGCTCATGGCAACATCCACAAAGTACTTTCTTCTCTGTCGATAGACATTGTCTTTAAATCCCTTAAGCAAGGAAGAAGAGAGTAATTTACAGTAAGAACATAAAATTAACTGTAGGAATTATAAAATAAATCATTGAAATGTTTCTTTAGTACTTAATTGCATTGTATTTTGATTTACACTGTCTACTGGAATGCAAGAGAAAATAAGGATTTTTCTTTTCTTTTTTTTTCTTTTTTTTCTTTTTTTTCTTCACCAGAGTTCCACAGGAGTTCTTTCAAGAGGGTTTTGTCCATAAGTACAGTCATTCATTCATTCAAGATGTTGAAAAGCAAAATTTTTTTCCTGTCATTTTATCTCACTCATGTTTTCTATGACCTGAACTGAGATCTACACACAGGTGGATAGCACAATAATCTATATGCACTCTATAATCTTTCTTCACTAGAATCAAGCATCTAAAGATCATATGCAACTCATTTTGAAGATTTTTTTTCAGCAGTTGCCATCTTAACCAACACATTGGGAACTGAAACATCAGCCCCCAGCACCAGTTTGAGTTACAAAGGGAGGGCTCTACCTCATGGACTACAGTAGGTTCACACCTTTTCCATATTAAGAGCAAAAAGAGTTGTATAACACATACATGCTGACCAGTTACAGCTCTTTGAGCTACTCAAAATTAGAACAAGATCTCTTCTATATCCATAAAATATAAAGATACTTCAGGTTTGAACTACAAGAAGAGTAAACTATTCTCAAAGTAGAACTGCCAACCCCTTGAAGACAAAAAAGAATTAGAGTTATCTATGTTACCCAGTTAGTAGCCCAGAAAGTGCATCATTTAAAATTCCCCCTGAAAATTAAAATGCTGAAAATTAAAATGCTGAAAATTAAAATGTCTTTCTTCCTTAGTGCTCACATAGACATGCAAAACACCGAAACAAATTAAAAGATAACATTGCTTGATTTGAAATACTTGTATGAACTTCCATAAAACTCAGGAGACATTTTACTGTCCCATAACCAAAGCTGTGCTGCTGGGTCAGAGTATGGGAGGATTTCACAGGACTACAGAAAGCCTTCAAACCTCCACTCCTGCACAGAAAATCTTCTTTGACTTGCAAAAAGTTGCTGTAATCTGGGGGAGCCTCTTTGTCTCCTTAATACCTATTGAGGCAAATGTTGAGTTACTCAGCTGAAGCCCATTCAAGAGACCTGGGAAGTGATGGAAGACAGCACAGGGGACTTAAAAACCTGTCAAGTGTAATGAAACTGAGATTGAAATCATTAACAATTATGGAGTGGGTTAAGGCTAAGCTGTTGAATTGGTGCTATCCTTACAGGTTCTGTAACAGGGTAATTCTCTTTGGTCCCCTGGCACATCCATGCCGCTGCTAAGGAACAGGGCAGGAAACTGGAGTGGCCTTTCAAAGGCCAGTCACTGATTTAAGGGTCTTACCCCATTTCTAACATCAAGTATGCTGCATAGGCTAACAAATGGTGTGTAAATTGTGTTTGTAAGAGTCCTCCCAAGTGTAAAATATATATTCATATAATGCAAATGTCTTTTTTTGTTTTCTGTAAATCAGTAGGCAAATTTTCAGCAGAGCGCTCAAGTATTTAATAAAGGTACCAGCTCAGAACATAAAACAGCATCTAATGGCCTGTCAGAGACATAAACTCAAAGCTGGAATGAGCTGTCTCTACAACCTCTGTTTGAACCAAATTATGGTAAATGGTTGAAGATAATCAACAATCTTTTCCTTTTGGAGAAAATGTGAATTAAATCCCAGTTTGTCATCAAAAAGTACACGGCAGAAAGCAGGATTCAGGAATGTGCTTCCTGACTATGGGCCCTCAGTATGGGAAGGGCTACCACGTGATAGAGGAGGCTGAGAACCAGCAAGGTGATGGTGGTGGTGATGATGATGATGATGATGATTGTGGCCGGTATGTGGACAGGTGATACCATGGGGCTGCCATGGATCTTTGTGATGGTTTCCATTTGGCTTGTGCACACAGGGGTGAGGATCTGTGCCTGAGCTCCCACCACAGCACAAAATGTGTGCAACAAAAAACAAAGGAAACTAACATCTACAGCTAGAGTTCAATCTGATTGTATTACAAGACAGTCTTATGGTCAGATATCTTAGTTCGCTGCCTACTTCCTTTCAGCTGGAAATTTCTGACAGTACCAGTTAATCCAGCCTATTTTAGGAATTAATATAACTGTCTACCACCAGTATCTTTCAGTCAAGTCATTCCGAGGTAGAAACTTGGATTTTTAGAAAGGGAAAGTATTTTAACACAAATGCTTGCAATCATCTGCCATCTAAAGACTCAGAGGTTAAACATTTATAGCCATTAGTGAAAATAAATAAAACAATGACAAAGCCCCTTTTTCTGTCTTTTTCACTGAGCATTTGACACTACTACAGATACCATTTGTGCTCCTGCCACCAAAGTCAGGAGATTTTGAGAAACAATGAGAGACACCTTCCCATTTGCTGCATTCACCAAAAACAGGAACATGTTTCTCTGTTTTGTCTTGTAATTACCGCCTGAGTGCCAAATAATTCCTTCATAATTCTTTCTTCTCTATTGACAATAGCATTCTTACCCAAGAGCTACTTCTGACAGAACTGAAGGTCATATTGACCTAAATTCTAAAGTTTGAAATCTTTCTATCAACCAAATACATCTTTTCTTTTTTTAAAACACAAGCAGTACAAAAGGGGATATACTTGCTAAACACTGAATAAGTTCAGTGGAAGACCTGAATTCTGTGTATCTTTCTACAGAAAAGGAAAATGAATTCACTGAAACTACCAAAGAGAAACCAGTCCTCATCTTCTGAAAACAATCAGCAGCCAATAGGCTTTTTACTGGACTGGCAAATAACCCAACAAATCATTTGCAGGACAGTTTTGTGTTACACTTACGGGGTGATCAGCATCCAGCTCAGATCCATACATCAAAACTCTCTGAGAGCATTTGTCTAACTCAGAGATCTTCCTGGGGAACCAAGGGACACAATCGAGATCTGCAGGAGACAGAATGCAAATTGAATGCACTGGAGAGTAAGATCATGGAGATACCTGTGCAAAACATCTGTCAGCATCTAAACCAAGTGGTACACAAACAGCCTTGCCTTCTTCATCAGTCCAGATGTTTTCCGGTGGATTGAGAGATACTATATTAGTTTGAAACTTGAGCAACTGGATCAGTTCATTAAATTCTTTCTTACTGCAGTCACAGTCCACAAAAATTTCCACCTCTGAATTCCTTCTCTTTGATTTTCGTGATTCAATATGAACCATACTCACGTGTTTTTCCTGTGGAAAGATGAAACAGCAAATGAAATACAGACATACATAGAAGAGCAATACTGGCACATTCCTCAGGAAAGTTTTTCCAGTTAGTAAAAGGCCTTATTATTGAAAGTACTCCCTTTTTCTATTTACAGGATTAGTTAGTGACACATATTAAATATTGATGACAAAAAAAAAAAAAAAACCTTACATGAAAAGTAAAAATAAAATTATTTTTTTTAATGAAGAAAACCAAGTAATGATTTCATTTTGTCTGCAAAAACAATCTCTTACAAAGGACAGTATAACACTTTTTTTTTAATTTAATGCAAATTTATATTTATCTTTGCTATAAATATTAAATTCTAATGCAATTTTAATTAGAAATTTGCATAATAATAATGCTATTTTAAATACAATTGAATGTGCTTCTTTAAACAGATGTTATTAAACATACTACTTGATGTACCTAACTACATGAGGAAGAAAATATTTTTATAAGAATAGACACATATCAATCCTCACCTATCTACGATGCAATTATCAATAACAGGAAGTGTTAACAGCAATATAATTAAAATCTAACTCAATTTATTCTCTATTTCCATGTCCCTATCAAACACAAATCATGCAACAAACATCACAGTGTAAATACTTCTAGCATGAAAATTTTCCTATGGGGTCTCTTTCCCACCACAACTGCTGGTCTGCCAAGGGTATCATACAGAGACGGATAACCATGATGTGCCATGGCTGACCTGATCTAGAGTGACAGCCTTGCTTCAAAACAGGAGCTTGGATTAGATGGCTATTCTTAACATTAGTGACCTCCTATGGACTCTGATTTTTTCTTTTCCTTGCTAGACAGAAACTATCTGTTACTTTTCACAATTATTCTTGCACTTACTCAGTGAAGCCAATAAAACATTTGTTGACTTCCAAATGGGAAGAAATTCATGTCTGTATTTCCAATTGCCTGCTGTATTTTACATAAATGTCCATTGCAGGTGGAGGTGTCCTCTGACAGAGCCAACAAGCAGTGTCTGTTTTTACACTTCTGGATATACAGACATAGTTCTTTCACTAGCATGCTCCACAAATGTGTATGCAGTGTAGCAACTCAAGCACACAACAAATTCAATTTTGTTTTCCCTAAGTTAAATTGAGAACAAAACCCTGCACTCCCTCGTGCAATACTGAAATCATTGACTACATGGATGGGGGTGGAGACCCCTGCCACATCTTCCAGAGCGCATTCTATGCTTATTCCCAGAAAGGGGTTTAAGCAGATGTTTAAATCCAGAATTTCAGCTATGAACCCATACCAGCATTTTAGCCAGAGCTGCACCTGGACACTTAACCCTTAGAGAACAGCTGCATGAAAACACAGGTCCTATTGTATCTTCTGTTGACTCACTTAGGTTTCCCCTCTTTTTGTCAAACACCCTGCTTCCTGGCAGGCTCCCTCCTGTGGGTCAAACTCACCTCTTTTTCTTGGCTGGAGAATCTATGTGTGCAACCTACAGCAGCCTTGGGAACCTGCTCCCAGAGCCAGCTGCTGTGAGTGAGGGCTGGTAACACCCAGTGGTCCCACACTTACACACCTCTGATGGTTTGGCCTGAGAGGCAGGCTCCAAGCCACCTACTAACGTTCTCTTCACTGCACAGACTGAACAACCTACGACTTTTATCATGCACAGACACATCTCCAGGCATTCTGACCAGGAGTCTGACTGACAAGCACTGACTGCATGGAGATGTACGTGGGAACCAATACCTCACACTTTGCATCCCAGTTAAACACATAAAACCCTGACCCTGCAAACACTTGAAGGTCTCTCTAATTTCAAGACCAAGAAAGGCTGCCACCCGCATCACCTGATTGTATTAGATTCCAAACTGCTCTCTGAGAGTGTCTCCTTTCATTGTGGCCTGAACAGACAACTTCAAATCTAATTTACAGTGTTGAGAATCACATCAGAAACCTAAAGTGAACCATGTGAAAATCAGCATCACTGTCAAATTTTATTTCAGAAAATCCTTCACAAGCCCAAAATGCTTTGTTCAATGATCCATAAAATTTTAAGTTACTTTTATTCAGTTCTGCAGAGCGAGTGTAGCTGTGCTCCATTCCTCCTGCCACGGTCCATTAGATTGATATCAACAAAGAGCCTGACCTCAGTAGCTGTCCTCAGTCCAGCCAGCATAAATGATTTGTGAGCATTACCTGGAAGAGTCTGAGAGCTTTCACCAATCCACCAACTTCATTTTTCAAGGAAAACACCACAGCTGTCTTTCCACCTTCAGATGCAGATTCACCTTTCCCATTGCCCTTATTCCCTTTCTTCTCGTCATTTTTCCCAGAACTCGATCTGTTTAGCTACAAACAGATAAAAAAACACGGTCATCTCACATTAAAACAGGCAAGAGAAATTTCCCACAAGAGAAATTTTTGCTTGCAAATAGCTGAACAGAACTCATCCTGGCTTCATTTGAAAGAAAAGGTTGTGTGTTTACTTGAAATCAGAATCAGGCTAAAGGCAGCTGCTAGAGAAGATTGTATAAGAGGCCATACAAAAAAATTTTTAAAAGCCTAAGAAAAAGCATAAATGGGATGCATATATGATGGCATTATTTGGGCAATGCTATCATTAGAAGTAAATGTGAAGCAAATGAGGACAGTCTGAATTACTGGCAAAGCCTGCAGATCAGTTATTGAAACCTGAATATTGCCTACCTAACCTGTACCAGTCAGTTTATGAAGATGTGCACTGGTCTGTACTTTTGTATTGACCATTGTTATATTTAAAGCCAAAATTTCACATTCTCCGTCATAGTACAATTAATGCTATAATGTAATGTAATTCATCCTGAGAAAACAAAACCTCTGCTGATTATACAAATGATAACAGAAATGCTTAGGCTACAACACAGACTATCAAGTTGGAAGGGACCTCAAGGATCAGCTGGTCCAACTTTTCTTGGCAAAAGCATGGTCTGGTCAAGACGACCCTTGTCACGCCACATCTTATAACTGTCCAGTGCTGGGGAATCCACTCCTTCTCTCAGGAGATTATTCCAATGGCTGATTGCTCTCATTGTGAAAAAGATGAGTTAGCTGAGGAGCTCAAAAAATACAGAAAATTGCAACATCCTTGGCCACTCTTACATTCTTAGAATTTGTGAGTCCAAGACTGTTTTAAGCAAAATTTCAGTCATCATTTTCCAAAAAATGTTATTTTATCAGCTTAAATCTTGTTGAAATTACAACAGTACAGCCTTTATAGACAATTTTTATATCATTGACCATGATTTTCATTGACCCTGCTTTTTCCAATACTTAGGCTGCTACTCCTGAAGAAATTAAGTCTCCAGTGAGATGCTAACTGCTTTGTTATGATCCATAAAAAATATGCAGATATACATTAAAAACATATACTATTTCAACGTTTCAAATGGATTAAATTGTACTTCAGTAAATTCTAAAGCAGCTTACAGAAAATAACCAGAAAATTCAGCTTTTTAAACAGATCTTTAACACTCTTTACACAGCACAGGTGAAATCAGCCACATTTAAACCAGGTACAGAACATGCTAAGTCCCTGTGGTCTTTTCTCACCATTTAATAGAACATAAGGAAACAATCTGGAAAGCCAATTTGTCTGCAGAATGATATATTAATGGTTTCACACATGTTTATTTTTTGGCAATTGAACTTATATGAGTCTGCTCCTACCTAATATGATAGGAAGGTTGCCCAGGGATAGTTATGGGGAAGGTCACTTTTGTTTTAACTTCAGTAATATCTAGGATTTGGATAAGTCCTTTTCACATACATCAAGCACACAGCCTCCAGATGGAGTGACAAAGATGCTGCTTTTACAGCATCTGTGGTTTTTCCAGAATCTCAGTACTGTCAGTTCCTCTGGAAAACAAAGGCACTCAATACTTTCCAAGCCCATCACAGGTTCCCTAATACTCTCAAGAGTGATGACTGAAAGACCCTCTCAAGAATTTGAAAACTAAAATTGACACCTATTTATTATGAGCCCAGTAGAAGAGGTTGAACTTGAATTTTATTAGCCACGTTCATTAGTACACTTTTAGTACACTTCATAATTAAACAATGCCTAACAGATCAACTTTCCTAATGAAAATTAATTATCTGGAGCAAGTGGAAGTCCTCAGGAAAAGAAGTCATTTACAGTAGAACTCAGTGAAGAAAGTAACTCAAATATAAATACAGTAAAACAAATTTATTCCCTTTAATTCAATGTTTTTAATAGAAGCTGAGCATGTAGAAATAGGGATATTTCACATTTTACTATGGAGAGTTGGCCAATTTTAAACTGGTACAAACCTCTCTACTCTGTTAGTTTTACCCAAGTGATAAAAATTTTCATCTGTTGGAAAACTTTACTGGAGTCACAGTCTTTATAATCCTAAATATTTCACGTATACAGAGCAGGTTGCTTTATTTAATCACACTTACGTTTACCTGTTAGTATACAGAAGTTTGTCCCATGCTTGAAACCACCCAAGCACCTGTTGCACCCATGTCATCACCTTGCAGGGAACCATTTCCATCTCCTACACGGTGATTCCCCCTCACGCAGCGCCCTGGCACGATGTCCCCACGTGTCCCTGCCTCCCTGCCCGCCGGCAGCAGCGGGAACACAGCAGCAAATCCACCGGCACCAGCGCAGAGTGGGTGCGCGGCATTGGTGTCTTGCCAAAAACGCTTTACAGACCGTGCTGTGAGCCCTACGAGCGCCCTGAAAAGGCAGTCCCTGCTGATGTGTACAAGGGCTTTCAAAAATCCAAGCATTTAAAACCATCTAAGCTGGACCCGATGCTTTTTTCTACTATTCCAGTAGCAATACGGTTCATTTCTGCAGTAAGGCTTCTATCGGTCATGAAACTTTTTCTGTTACTTATGACACTTTTAAGGCAACGTTTAGAACGGGGCCCGATTCGACAGCAAAGTTAGTTTCACAGCCCCTGCAGCTGCCGAGGGACCGCTGACCTGTCCGTGAAGCGAGGGGCATGCACGGCTGCCCGCCCAGCAGTAGCCCCGGCGGAACCCGACCCCCCGGCCCGGCCCCGGCACTTACGGCGAGGCTGCCGGCGGCGGGGCGCTCCTCCGGCAGGGCCGAGTCCAGCGAGAAGCCCCGGCGCGCCCAGTACTTGCTGGAGAACATCATCATGGCGGGCTGCATGGGGCCGGCGGCGGCGGGGGCAGCGCCGCGCTCTGCCAGCCTCGCCGCGCCCGCTGCCTTTATACGCCCCCGCCGGGCTGATGGAAGCACGATATGGGGACACCCGTCTCCGGGTGACGAGAGCCGCCGGCAGGCGGACGCCCACGGTCCCCGCTCACCTCAGCAGCCGGGGCGGGACAGCGGGACAGCGCAGCGCGGGGAGCGACCCCGCCGCCTCACGCCGGCAGCAGCCCGGGCAGGCCCCGCTCGGAGCCGCCGTCCCCACCCGCCCTGAGGCTGCTCCTGGCGGGTCCTTCGCCCTCCCCTCACACCTGCGCCTGCCGGGCCGGCCTGCGCCCCCCGCAGCGGCACCAAGGCACGGCACGGCTCACGGCCCCGGGAGCAACAGGCTCGAGAGCGTGGGGACAGCACGGCAGAGCACTGCAGGAGCTGAGCTTCAGCACAGCGGAGTTGTGCAGAGACAACGAGAAATGCTTTGGTGTAGAAATCCATCTCTCTCCGTTTAAGTGAGCAGAAGGCAACTGCCGAAACTATAACTTGACTGCAGGGTTAAAGGAACCCTATCTCCCAAATTTACTTGCAAAATTTAAGATTTCTAACTTCTCTTTCATTGTAACATTCATTTTGTGACGTGCCACCGTCACCTGCCATCCCAGCTCCTCCTCATTTCTTTCATCTTCCAAAACCTCTCCACGGCATCCTTAGAATACAGAGGTTACCTAACAGCATGTAGCACTGAACAGCACATCTGAATCGGGAGCACTATGTCAGTTTCCCTCAAATACCTACTCAGTTTTCTCAGTTCCAACACAGCAGGGGAAACTTACCGCTTCCTCTTGGAAAGCGCCATCGGTGACTTGCCCTGAGCCTCCCAAAAGAGAGGCAAACTAGCTGAATGCAAAAGCTGGCTGCACAAGACCCGTCGTATTATTAGATCAGTCTCATATCCTAACTTATCAAGAGATGTTCCCTGTCCTGTTTTCTCATTATTTTTGATGATAGGAAAGCAAGCTGGTGTCTTTGGACTTTGATATTCCTATCTGCTGTGCGTGAGATACACAGACCCAGTTCCTGCAGTTGAACAATTTATGAGAAAGGTTGCTTAGCACTTTCTGAATGCTCCAGTGACAAAACCAAACATGACTGGGCTGCCTTTCCACCTACAGGCAGGACAGAGCATGATTTTATCTGGTGTTAAATCCTGGCTCTGCAGCTGGGACATCACACGAATCAATGACCCTGCTGCTCTGGAGCCTTGTTATTGTTGCCCCTCCGTGCAGTAACCAGAGCACAGCAAAGGTTTTGTCCCTCGCAACCTCTTCAGCAAGACTCCTGAATGCAAAACAACCAAAGGTGCATTGTGTTAATATCTGTTAATAACAGATAGGAGGACTCCAGCTGTTTCACCCGTGCTGTCTGCCCATGTGTCCCACAGAGAGATTCTTCTCCCTAGAAGGGAGTTCTTCTTTGGCAACTTGTATTTTGTAGGTGGACTTTGCCATACCAGCACCAGATTAAAAGACATTTATGGGCTGAAAATGTTTATTTCTTCTTTGTTCTGGTATATGGCTCTGGGTATATTGCTAAACTAGAAATTTTGTTAAAGCAACTATTCAAAAGTACCTGATCTAGAGCATGTCAGTGTCACTCAGCAGTGCTATTTCATCTTGGGAAACAGAGTTAATGCTGACAGTAAGAAATGGACAAGCTTTCTCTTGTTACTAAAAGGTACCTGATCACCTATAATCAGAATTCAGAAACTACAAGGTCCTCTTTACACACACTTTTTTTTTTCTCTCATGAGATAGCAGAGTCACTGTTGCCTGAACTCCTCAGCTATGCACTTTTTAAGCTTAAATATTTGCAGAATTCTCAAGTGAAAATTGAAATCTAAAGAAAATCTGTGAGAAGTTTTCCAAGTTTGAGTCATTTTGTCGCCACCAGAGATATCAATTGCCATATTTCAGCATATTTTCCTTAAAAATAACTGTAACATTTACCATAGCTTAATTAACTAGAAGGTGAAATTAACAGGGCAGAGAAGCTAGTATTGCCCAAAAAACTATTCAAATTTAGCCCTGGCTCTCCCAGATCACCAAGTCTTTGTCTCAAGGCACACTACAGCAGAAAAAAGAACTCTCAAGTCATCATGGGGCAGAACAGAGAAAGAAATGAAGTTATGAAAAGGTATCAAAAAAGCATAGAGAAAGATGGCCTCCACAAGGATCTAAAATGTAACCACCATTATTCACTATCAGGTCAAAAAGGCAGGGCAGAGAACAGATGTGCTGATTATTAATGTAAGAGATGTTGACACAAGCAGAAAATAGAAGTCCCAATACCCTTTCAAATCACAATTTTGTTGGTAAAACAAGGACTTTGTGAAACAACTGACAAGTGGACTAACCAAAGGAGACTTTTCAACAAAGAAAGATGTACATTCTCTTTCTGTTTACTAGAGATACACACACACTCTCTCTCTCCTAAGTCCAACTCTCTGAGAAATCTAGGTCTACTGAAAAATCTATGATGACAATGTACACTTCATTAAGTCATGAAGATATGGATTTTCAAGCAACTATCAAAACTATCCTCTTTTAACACTGAGGGGATTTTAACCAACTATCAATCATTGGGCAAGGTTTTCCACCAAAAGATAAACTGGCTAGGAAGACCTGGGTTCATAGATGACATAAGGAACATGAAGCAAATTCAGTTATTAATAGACCCAAGAAGAGAGAACCTAGAGCAGAAAGACAGTTCTTTCCCTGTTCCAGTGAAAACATGGTTTAATCAGGAAACTATTTCATTACAAAGGAAGTGCCGTCTTCTACTACACTTTTACTAGTTGTAGCATAAGTCCTTAGTTCATCATTACCTTCAGTTCAGAAGAGGAGCTTATAGGAGATGCAAACAAGGACCAAGCTACTAAATACAGGTAGAATAGCACATAGATGAAAGCTGTGGTACAAAATTCAAAGTCATTAATATAGGACATCAAAAGCAACTTCTAAAAAAAATTACTGCAGCAGCAGCTATAAGAAGTGAACTATCAGACCAGTGAACACAAGGAAAGGACAAAACAAAGAAAGCCCTTAAAATTAGCTAGGTATTCAAGGTACTTTTTTTACATCAGTCTTTGTTAAAGAATCAGCTGTAACCAGATGTCTATCATAACTAATAGCAAGGGCAGAGAGATAAGCTCTTTGCTTTTAACAACATGAAACAATGTTGAAGAATACTCATGATGAGTCTGATCATAGCAAATGAGAGCACAGAAACCACTTACAGAGGAGACTCATTAAACCTCTGCCATCAATAACTGTTTTAAGAACTATGGGGAAGAACAAGTGACAAAAGACTGGGAAAAAGCCAAAATTATGTCAATCTCCAAGAAGATAATGGGGAGGAAGAAGGGCTGAAGAATTACAGACCAGTCTGTTTTCTCAAACAAATGAAATTACAAGTACTAAAATTATTTGTAACGATCCAGAAGATAACAGATGATTAAACAGTCAGGACAGATTTGCTGAGAACAAATTGAGTCAAGCAAATTTCATTTCCTCTTATGACAGTCCTGTAGACAAGGCAAAACAACGCACGTCATTCATCTTGATGGTAGTGCAGCATTTGGCATAATTTCTCATAACATTCTCACAAGAGAGATAAGGAAAACAGGTGCAGATGAAAGTAACAAGTCATACAAAGGGGTGGGTTCAGTTAAATGGAAGGGTGCAGAGAACAGGAGAACCTCAAATACCTACCTTCACACCTAAACTATTTAGTAGAACCCTTACATGAGCATTTAGAGTGCAGCTGTAAATTCCCAGACTGTACCTACCTCAGAAATACTGTAATGGTTACAAAATTTAAACCGATGCTGGGGCAGAGAGGGCTGCTTGCAGATAAGCAGCTGCACAGTCACCAGGGAAGGCTGACTTCATGTGAGGGAAGTCAGAAGTTACAGAAAGTCTCCAGCTGCATGCAATCACTCTATCTGTGCTGGAAATCCACAAACACCTGAAACTTGTTTGCATGATAGAGTGCAGGATCTCCAAAGGTATCCTGCAAATAGAATAGATAGGCATCCAGCACAAAGACATGCCTTCCAACAGGAGATACTGTAGCTATTCAATTATTGACAAGTTTTTAAAAATACCTTGCAATATGACAAATCTGAAATTTTAACAAACTTGTTGTATGTATATATACAGGCATTCACTACATGATGATAAAACGTGGTATGATTTATCTGGCTAAGATAATTTTGGCCTGAAATTTATCAGCTCCTTTATGTTGTTCACCATATGCTGCACAATTTAATCACAATGGCATAAAAGGTGCAGCACCCCAGGGCAGAGCACAAAGAGCTGGGATTGCCACTTTTGGTCAATAGTAGTACTGTTTGTTGCTTGAGGAATTATTAAGTCCCTGAACCCAATATTTTGGACTTTTAAAGACTTCCTTGTTCTCCTGCATCATGTGCTGGAGCAGTAAAACCAGAGGAGTGGGTAGAAGCTCTCCCAGAACAATGCCCAAAGGTAACATGTACTGTTGGAACCTAAAGGTCATCTGGACCAATTCATACACCAAGAGTGCTTTGGAAAAAATCTAGTGTTGCATCTCACTGAGTTTTGGCAAGCAAAAGAGAACATCGCCACACCAGTTGTATGTAGTACGACTTTTTTGCACCAGATCTGGATGGGTGCTTAAAAAGTGTCCTCTTCAATATAGCAAGGAGTTTTTCCTAACATGATCTCACTCATCACCAAGAATCATCACACCCAAGGGGTCAGGCCGGGATGCCTCATAGCAGCCCGTATGGTGATGTGTTTGGTTTGTGCCTGGGTCAGTGTTGGTAACACAGCAGGGTTTAGCTGCTGCTGTACACTGCACAGTGCTGAGGTTCTCTGGCTGCTTCCCAGGGGTGGGCACGAGCCCCAGAGCAGTCACAGCCAGGACAGCTGACCCAAAGGCACATCCCACACCGCATGCCATTGTGCTCTGTAATAACAGCTCAGGGAAGGGAGGAGGAAGCAGGTCATGGCATTTC